TCTGGCAGACAGGAATTGAGATTCAATCTCAGTAATTCCCAATTGTAAACAAATATAGACAATTAATAAACTCAAGATAAGGTAATTAAATTACCAAATATAGCCAAAAGTAAAAAAGATTAATACAGAGCAAGGGATAGATGTTGAAGAATCTCCCGTGGAAAAGGCCCAAAGTGCTTGTAGATTCTCACTGTGAAGTTGTTTTGTTTTGAAAGATAAAACTTAAACCTTTGGGCATTTAAGTTGAATCTCTGGAGTTCATGATTTAAATTATAATCTCACTGTGCTGAGAGGCTATTTATGAACTCATCATTAACATAAAACCTGCTATTTTGTTCTCCTTTTGATATGTCTTTACAGATTTTGTGTTTCAAAACTTACTATAATTATTTGAAATTTTCCAGTGACATTTAATAATTTTCAGGACAGATCCTACAGTTTTCATTTTACCTAGTTACCAAAATTTGGCTGAAATTTCCCCCTTGGACATCTTTTCTACATAGAAAAAATCAGCAAGATTAATTCAAGGTAAATTAAAAAGAGATTAATTAGTCCATATAAAATGTTGTGCAGATGCTCATTCAGAATTAAAGCAGCCTCAGTGAAAATTTCACAGCAGGTTAAACTAAATTAAATCAAGGTCACCTTAGTTCTTAATAAATGACCACTCCAGCATTTAGCATGGTTTAACTGTGCTCTTTAAATATTCATCTTCTAAATGGGCAGTATTCCTCCATGTCTTCATTTAGACAAGCCTGATGAGATTTAGTCTCCAAGTATTTGCTTAAAAGCCAACTTCAGGATAATGGAATGACTAATAGCAAGTTGCTGGAAGGCCTACATATACAGGCTTGGTCCTCACAATTCTGACTAACATTAAATGTTGGAACATTCCTGTATATCCACAGAATGGAGGCTGTTCTACATGGACTCTCCTGCAAGCAGCCTCAGTGCACAGTTCATCCTGCTCTAATGCTGAATTCTTGTACTGGAGCGTGATGAAAATCTTAATGAGAATAACCTACAGAGACACAGGTCTTGTAAATAAATGAGAACAGGTCTTTTACAAGAAATTCTGAAACTTCTCAGAGTGTCAGTTCCTTCTAATGATATTCTAGCAAACAACACACTTTCTTATGTCCAGAAAACAACAACATAAATATTAGTGATTTATTGGTGAATTCTAGTGAGAAAATTCTAGTCAGTACAAGTTCATGAAGCTGAATTTCTGGAAGAAACTGCTGAGGGTATATCAGAACCATCATACATCTGAGACACAGAGACTGGGTGGCAAGGAGAGCAGAGAATATAGTATCTGCAGTTCATCACCTGTCTATAGGTGAGAGCTACCTGCACTGCAGAGACAAAGTTCTTGCCTTCTCTTTTGACCATTTCACAATATTTTAAAGTCGTTCAATGCTTCTGTATTATAGAATATAACCAATGTTTGTGCTTAATGAATTTGACAAAACTTGCTACTCCAGAATGATGAAAAATGTAATGTTTTACTCCAAAGTCTTCAAAAGCTTCAGAACCAAGGAATAAAATGAAGTCATCTTGCTCTCTTTCAAAATAACTATATATGGGAAAAATCTCACACATTGCACTGCTGACAAGTTTACGTGCTCTCAGCACAGATGAAACCTCCTTCATAGTCTCCCAAATGGCTGTCATATCAAACCTCACATCAAATAAAACTTTCTGCTTTTGCAGATTTGGAAATCATCTTTGCTTTGGAAAATATATTACTACACAGAAAGTGCAAAGCACTGAGACAACCTTAGTAATAAACCAATTCCCACATGCTTTTAAGACATATAATGAATTCACTCCCTGCAGTTGTTGAGGTTTTCATATGGTGGTTAATATCTGGCATTGAATATATATTGATAGTATGATGAAATGATTACTCTTTATGCTAGAAAATATTTGAGAATAGATATTGTATTTGAGAATCCCTATCATTGCAGAAGTATATGAAAAATCTAGCAGAGGTGCTTTTCAGTCCATAAAAGTTCTTGTATAGTATGTTCATATAAGAAGTGTTCCAACTCTGCTTAATGTTAATTTCAGTTTTCATAGAAGTACAAGTTCTTTAACTAAACATAAGTATAATAGTTCCCACATCAAATAAAGTTTCAAGCCTCAAATAATGTGTGAGGGTAGATGCACAAATTATGTAAGTCTGTTTATGACACATCTACAAGGAAGTTATCATGACTGGTTTGGTTTCACTTGACCTTGAGAGTAACCCACATGCTTTTCTAATTAAAACAAAAACAAAAACAAAAACAAAAACAAACCAAACCAAACATTTGGGAATAGTATCAGTTTAATGAATTCTCACTTTTCATGCTCTTGCAACACAGCCTCTCTTTATTTCTTCTACATTTGCACATCTGTGGGCAGTAAAAACGTCAACCCTTTCAACTAACTGTATTATAAATGCAATATACATTAGTTCCAGAGTTTTCATTCAAGAGGGCAGTTGGAAGGTAATTAGGATAAATATAATGAACTTTTGATCCATTTAGATTTTCTTTCTCTGATGTTAGCCTTGGAAAAAAAAATACAACGTGTACAAGTGTGCAGCTGTTCATATAAAGATTATGGTAGATAATCCTCATTAGAGAGTTGAATTTTTACTCTCCTTAAGTTTCATTCCAAGAGTCAAAAAAACTGCTTCTGTGCGCTTCCAAATACATTTGTTATAACTAAAAATGAAGTTCCAAGAATTCCCTTTTTTTTTTGCTGTTGGTAAATTTCAGCCTCAATACAGGTGTCAACTGTGACATTTAGGGGAGGAAAAAGAAGAGGAAAGCATTCTAATGAATTGCTTGCAGATGTACAGGAGAGTGAAATTTAGTGTCTACTGCACATTGCACCATTTTTTATGAAAGGCACAATAGTGCTTAAAATTCTGTTCAAATGTGGCACATTCTAAAATTGCAGCTATATACAGCTTTTAAAATTGCTTAATCTTCTTTATCTGATTGCTTTTTAATATTCAGGAGAGGTTGAAGAGTTCTGAGCAAAATCTAAGAACATGGGCTTCTATTCAGCCTTTGAAGGCTGAATGAAGATTTACCATTTAAAGTTTTAGATTAGCTCAGAATGTGTAAATCCTTTTCTACTTTCATGTATCAGAAAAATAAAATTAGTATTCAGTGAACTGGGGAAAAAGCACTGGTTTAATCTGCAAACAGAAGAGGTGAAAATTATTGAAGTTCCAATTCAAGTATACATGACTTAGGACTCAGTCTAAACTTTTAAATTCTCAATTTGAGCAAATACCTAAAACCAGCATCCAAAGGAGTAACTTTTATGTTCTTCTGGAAAACTTTTCTCCATTGTCTGAAAACTAAGTATTCTTTGTGGTGGACAATGAATATTTTAAAAACACTTACATGGTAAGTTCTGTTTGCAAAGCCAGTTATGAAGAACTGATTTTGCACAGAGCTGCTTAAGATCTGAGAAACATCCAGTCAAGAATAATTGCCCAGTGATAACATACAACTGAATTAAACAATCATTACATAAGTAATGTAAATGAAAGTCACAGAAACACAGTTTTTGAATGATATAAACTTTGTAGGAGGGTGGTGGGCAAGAGAAAGTCCAGTGAGAGAAATTGTTTAGTATATTTTTATTTTACACTAAATTTGAGATTTTGATGCATAGGAGAATTATTTTCTGTCTTGGAAAAATGTTTGGTTTAATGTACTGGTTAAATATTATGATTAACATTTCCTGATCTATAAAATAATTCTGTGACATTAAATAGCAATAAATTTTTGACAGCATGGATTCTACCTTCTGTATCTGTCAATTGATATCATAATAATCAAGAGGAATAAAAGTCTATATCTGATTCCATATATCTGTGTTCCAGATAAAAGAAAATAAGATTAAAAAAAGTAAAGCTGTTCTTTTTTGTAAATGTTGTTGCCCTTATAAAACAAACTGAGCCATGAGTGCAAATACTTTTGTATAATACACATGGTAATAAATGCAACTTTTATTTAGCACTTAATTTGTACTCTCTCTTCCTTGAAAGCAGATTGTTCTGCACTTGTTTTATACTTAGGTATCTTTTTTATTTTTCTATGATTCAAAGTTTCTACGTTTGGATAAATAGATATTTCTAAATAAATAGATACACATGACTACACATGACACTTTATATCATGATTGTAGGACTCTAAATCATTCTACTTACAGTGAAGAAGTCAAGAAAGCATATGCAATAAAATAGTCTGGATAATTAGAAGTGAAATACTTTCCTCAGTAGGTTAAGACTACAAAGTTTCATCAGGAGGAGCCATATTCATATGTAGCTCATATTTTCTGTGTAAACCAGTTAGATGTCAGGTGAGATTAAAGACTTTGATCCTTATCAGTCATGAATTAATGCAGTTCCACTGAAGTCATAGTTATTAATTTAATTTATATTAGTCAAGAATCTGGAACATACATTTCCTTTTGTTGTAAACTAGTAAAAACATTAAACAACAGAGGGAGATTTTCTCCTGAGATGCCCATCTTTATTCACCATTTTTGCTGGAGTGGGGTTGGGGTAGATTGTGATGGGAGACAATATTTATTAATGTGAGAGAAAACAAACTGAACACGTGTCTCCCTATGTGACTTTGTTACAGAAAAGATTTTTTATGAGAAAGAAATATTAGTTTTAAATACTGCAGTCATATTAATAACAGACCTCTTGTTTTATAAGGTAAGCAGATGAATATATGTTTAAAAATTTAGAAAGGTGGTAAAGCAATACCATTTCACCAATTCATTCTTCACAGGAACAAGATTTATGGATTTGATTTGCCTGGCTTGTCTCACATCTTGTTCCATAGACTTGAATTAGAAATGTGAAAGTATTACAAATGTGATCTCCCTTAAAAAGCAACCCACCCAAAACAAACTAAACAAAACCAAACAACAAACCACAACTTTCCTGAATTCTTTACAATAAAGAAAAAATCATGTACCTGATGTCAGGTTTTGATGTCGTGGGTCTTCTTTTACTGGTGGGACACATTAAAAAAACATAGGTAATAAATTAATCTGCAGTTTCAGGTCAAAATACTGAAATAAATTTCAATAAGAAACGTTTGTTTCTTGGAATCATCTCACAGAAAAGAATTTCTATAAACCATATTTTTTTAAAAGCCTGACTCTTCTAGTAAATAATTTAAACAGATAAATTTTCTGTCCAGTAAAACCATACAAGCAAACTGCTTCTAGACAGTATAGTGAACTGGCACCAGTGCTACTGCTATCCTTTGAGGTTTGAGATATCAATATGTAAATTTTATATGCAAGTCATTGCATTTAATCAATGTAGAGAAGATATTTATGCCTTTAATCACTTACCTAATAAAATACTGTAATTTATTGCTATTAATTATCTTTAGAGGTATATCAAAAAGCATTTCCTTATTTGCATATTACCGTGAGGAAACAATCAAGGCAGTGCTGTGACCAAGAAGTTAGCCAGAATATGTGTGATCGTGATGTCTGTCTTGTGTATAAAAAAAGGCTTCTTGTGTAGTTGCTGTGTATCAGTGTTGTTATTTTACAGAATGATGCTGGTGACCTAAGGCACCAGACAAGCTGTGGAGATGAACTTTGCACTGCCTCATTAGGGAGCACAAGGGCAGTCTGGGTGGGGCCTCCTGATGCTGGGCTGCAGGGCTGGGGGGCTGGACAGGTCCCTGCTGTGCCAGCCAGCGAGGGTCACAGGCAGGGCACCGCTGCAGCCAGACTGGATGCGCTGATGTAATCCTTGATACTCATATGCAAAGGAGACACCAGACATTCAATTACTGGGGATTTATGTACCATTTCATCATTTTGGTTTACTTGCATCTGTGTATAAAGACAAAAAAAGCTCCTCATTCTTATCCCATAAAATCCTCCAAACCTGAATGTTTGCATTTTTGTTGCTATTTGCAGGGATTTTCATCCCTTTATTACCTTTAGTTTTTTCATCTTTCAGCTGTTTCTTCACAGTTGTTTTTTCTACAAAGAAAAAGTAGCAGAGTTAAAGTTTGGTAAACTGACCAATAGATTTTGCCTGGAATTTTCAAGTAAAATTCTTTGAGAATTAACACGGATATTTTAGGAGTTGCCTCAAATAACAATACATGCAAATTTGCAATCTCATACTATTTCTATTGTGATCTTCTACATATATATGAACATATAGAATAAATTCCTACCTTCTTTTTCCTTAATTGTCTTTGGTTTTTTTGTGGCTAGAAAGATTTGAAAAGAAATAACATTAAGTGACAGGCATCAGAAATACAGGGCTTTTACAGTAAGTACATTGTGCAAAGACTCTCTCACTGGTAATTTCCCTGGAAGAATTACTGTGGTAAATGTGTCTCATGGCATGTTTACAATGTCTGTAATATTGCAACAGTGCCTGCTACACTTAGTGGCACTAAGAGTTCTGGGATTTGTGCAGAGTGGTTAGAAATTGTTTGAATATTGCTGGTTGCAGAGTAGTTTAGAAAATCCTGATAAAGACTTTAGCACTTGACTTCTGCAATTCCTTAACTACTGCCAGATTTACCTATTTGCTTGTTGCCAAAATACACTAGGGAAGGACTCTGCCTATTGCTTACTTCTTAGTCTCCCAGAGTGATCTCAAATACCTGAAAGAAATAAACAAACAAAAATCCCCAGGATATGAAGCTAGATGGACCTTTAGAACTGACATATGTGATCATTCAGAAGTGTTGCAGCAATAGATTGTGATTTATTCTATTGAGGGTTTTTTTTATTTTATTTTATTGAGGTGTTTTTCCTAGTCTACATTCACTTAGAGCATGTGCTGTTTCCTTTTCCTCATCCTTTTTCCCCAGCTGCAAACGCATTTGGTCTGTGACTCCATTCAACCAATCAAGGCAGACTGAAATTAAGCAAAGTATATCACTTCAGGCACCTGAGCCCTTTTCAGTATTCCCTGTTGACTACAGCAGAAAAATAGCTGTCTGCCTTCAAATGGTTCATTTGCACTTTGCATCATCCAGCCAGTTGTAATAACACCTTCTTCATTGTCCTCTGGCCCGTATGTCACACCAGCCCTTTCAGTGAGGATCACCTGTGTTAGCTCACCAAAACATGCTGCGGAAGGTGAACAGTGAAAATCACATAATCAGATGGAAAGAAGAGCCCACGGCAGAGATATTCTGTAGCTGCAGTGCTCTCACTTCACCCATGCTGCTTTATGTTATCCCTGTTCCTTGCTGATGAGGAAGTGCTTTAATCAATGCTGGTATGGTCACTAGTTCTTTCCATGAGGCATACTAGAAAAATGCAATATTTACCTGATGTTGGGATTTCAGCTGTTGGCTCTCCAGGAAAATAACAAGTAATGAAGAGAAAGGGGGTGGGGAAGGGAAGGAAAAGAACAAGAATTTCAGTACCATGTTTTGTCAGGGCAAGCAACCATTTAAATAGATCTTCTCTTTCATCTGCAACTTTTCTGCAGGGTATTAATTTATAAACAAATGTGCCTTAACAATGGGTGTGTATGTAGAATTTCACACTGAAAGCCAACAGTCTCACTCTTTGAAGTACTATAATGCAGCATACAATGATTCTTGCAAATGCAAACACTGCACCAACCAAAGCTTTCCAGCTAGCAAATATTTAAAATCATTTTTAGACTAATTTTAAAGTGTGCCTTTAAGGTTATAGCTGACTATGCTATTTTCCAAAAATGTATTCAGCTTAATTGTTACCTCTCTTTTCTTATCATCCACACTTCCCAACCAAAGACTGACACTGACCTTGAATAGCTGGCATTGACCCCTAAATGTTTCTCCCACACAAGCAGTTTGACTTGCATTTTAAGAATAAAATCTCTTGAGAGATTTTGACATCTTTCCACTCCACCTAGCACAAGAGAAGCATATATTCCTGTGCTATTATAATACCCAAAATAATTGATGAAAATTTGTCAATCCAATGGATAGAAATTCTCTGGTGTAAATCATCATCACTCATTTTAAATCAAATAAATTAATTACATTGTAATTTTGAATCCAATAATTTTTACCCATCACTGCTTAATTAGTCCCAGTTTTATGTAAGAATACGATTTGAAAGAAAAAGTAAAGCCTCTGTTCCTAGAACTTAGAGCAGGACAAAAAAGGAATAAGATCATAAAGCATTTAAGGGTATTCCTTGGACTGAACAATCTCTGTACTATCTTCCTGCTGAGTTTTGGCTTCAGATGAATATGAGCTCACACCAAGGTGAAAATGTTTCAGTCAATGCTTTTTCCACAGGAAGACTGAGCAATTAAGCATCATTCTCCCTAACTCATCCCAGGAAACTTGCACTCAAGTCTTGGCCCATAAGGAGACCTGTAAATGTCAGTGCTCAATGCTTGGACACCATGGGCATTCAACAAAGGCCAGTTTTGTTGCTACTAAATACTAACATGCTAAAGTCCTTTAATATTTACCTTTTTGCTTATGATCTTGCTCATAGCTTCTTAAAGATGACATATTGTGACTCATGGAATAATTAATAAGTTTTTTTCATTTTCAGAAGAAAAAGCTAAGATTTTTTTCTAAGGTACTAAATCTAGGAAAGGGTTTCATGCTGTCACTTCTTAGCTGAGAAAGTGTCTCTCTGAGGGATCTGGATGGGCCCAGTTATGTGGACGTGCCCTAATTTAGGATTAATTGATTTCCTTGGACAGTCAGGTACGGGATGACTGTTGACCTGAAGGGCAGTAGGTTTGAATCTCTGTTGTATGAAATGTAAGGGCCATTTCCTCTTCTCAATGCATCAACACACTTCCACTTACTCTGAGAACATTGGGACACATATTACCCCTATTATGGGGCTTTCATTATAAACCTAAGTGGGAATATAATTTGCCAGTCCGTAGGGTCTTTTTTAAATATCAGCCTTCATGTTCTTCCTCTTGACTGTAAACTACAGTTTGGTATTCCTGCATGTGTGAGATCTGCCACCAGCTTTGTTTTCTGTTAAAGGTAATGTCTTACAACTTGTGAGTCTTTAGTCTTTAGTCAGTCTTTAGTCAGAGACTTAATTCTGTTTCATTACACATTCAAGTTTGATGTACGGTCTATGGCTGTCAAGACTCTCCTGTACACTAAAACAGAAAGAGTGAAAAATAAAATGATTTACTAATTGCTTTTAAAATTGAGTGAGTGGCTGTGTGGCATATATCTGCCTGCCAGGTTAGATCATGGCTTACTATGACATTTTCTGTGTTGTTAATTTGGGTAGTTTTCAAACTCAGCCATGTCTTTCTGTTTATACCTGCATTCCCTAATGACCCAATTTCTTTAGTAACTTAAACCACATTTGCTTTTATAGTAAGACTGAACAAGATGAACTGTGTGAATCAATTCGGCCCAGGATAAATATGTTAATTTATTTTACATTCCACTGGACCTGAACTCCAAAATCAGTGAGTATTTTGTGTCCAATGCTACATCTCATACTGAATTACAGGACAGCTACATTCATGTTGTGCTAAGTACACTGTACACCTGGCTAAGAAATACATGAAGCAAAACTATGTAGACCTCTATAAATAAAGAAGGCAGTGATCCAACTAAATGTTCTCCTTTAAGTGGAGAAAATCAATATAAAATAGATAGCTGTGGTGTTTAAAATCTTAAGCTTGATCTATTCAAGGATGGTTTGCTCAAAAAAGGGGCAGTGTATAGAGAATTACTTTTGTAAATGGTCATAGCTCTGCTTGTTCCTATTTTTTCCTTCTTTCTCTTTTTTTTTTTTTTTCTTCTTTTTTTTTTTCTTTTTTTTTTTTTTTTTTTATTTTTTTAGAGGCATTGTAAACCCTTATAGTAATTTCAAGCAGCAAAGGCCTAGGGAAAATATCCTGGCTATTCCTTATATTCATAATATACCAGGGTAACATAACTCTTGTTAAAAAAACATTGTAGACAGTGATTTTTATGATGAAAACATAAGGAATTAGTCACTTAAATCTGTGATGAGCCTCTAACAGTAGTGAGTGCTGTCACTGGGTCTTTTAGATAAATCACTACAGAAGACATTACAGTAATGTCAGTAAGCAGATTTAGAGAAAACAAGACTGAGCAAAAGTGAATATTAGAATTAAATAGAGCAAAATTTTCTTAAAATTACTTGCAAAAATGGAAATAGGCCCATGGATAGCTTCACAGAAAGTAATAATTTTGCAATAATAACTTGAAAATGGAACATTGCTGTTCAGGACTGAAGGAGATCCTGCAGTGTAAGCACATTTCAGATACCTTGTGCTCACACTTTCACTTTACATCTGGGGTTCAGAGTAACGTTTTTCCTACAGGTGTTTCAGAGCAGGATTCATCCTCTCTAACTTTAGGAACCTAGCACAGGTGACTGGTCTAGGAAGTTTAAGCAAATAATTTTGCTTTGGCTTGTTGTCAGCTCACTTTCCACCAGAATAAGACATGGTTTGGTCTTGTTGTGCCAGGCACAGCACCCAAAAATCCCCACAGATCCTATGCTAGAGAGCCAACAACTAATTCATCTGTGAAGGTCCATACTTCAGCATTTTCACAATTCAAAGCATGCAGTACAAACACTGTCCTTCTGATTCTTGTCTGACCATGCTTTGCAGTATGTAATGTGTAATGGCTTGTCACAATAAGCACAGATCCCAGTCTTCATCTGTTCAGAAGTCTTCCTTAAAAATGACCTTAGAAAGGACATTATTCCATGACTTCAGGGAAAGTTTTTGTAATGTGACAAATTCCCCTTGAATCCTCCTTAAAACTAATATAACTTTGAAATATTTCTTTCTCTTCTTTAATTTAATTTAGGTTTTTTATTTAAAAAAAAACTTTTACTGGAAGAAGGCCAACAACATGCTTAGTGAAATAATGATGTAAGTAATTTCCAAATGGTAAAAGAATTAAGGAAAAGGTTGTCTAATTCAGTTATGCTACATGCTATTTTCTTGTTTTCAATAACCAGTATATTTGCATAAATATAAATTATACATCTACACTCATCTAAACCCACCAGAATATCAGTTTTGCTACCAGTGTAATTTACATTATTTTCTAGGGAGCAAATATTGCAAACAGAGTTTGAATCTTGCATTTTCACAATATTGCATTATAAATGTGCTTGATTTTGTTGTGTTTGGCTGTCAGTAAGCAGACAGAATACAAAAGTATCTGTAGTATAAGCAAGAAAATAGCATTATCTAACACGACAAAATTGCAAAAATGCAAATTTAGAGAACATGCATCTGAAAAGAAGGTTTATATTCCATAAGAAATAAGCCATTACACCTACTTGCAGTGTTTTTTGGTTTGACTGGGAAGTAAAAAGAGGAAAGAAAAATGGTCAAAACAGGTCAGGTTCAGCATAATATTGTTATGACAGACAATGGCTTTATTTGTTCTATATGTTTCCATGTATCAGAACATATTTTTACTAATCTCACAGTAATTAATAACAATCAATAATGAATGATATTAGTAGGGGTGTTCTCATTTACGGACTGAAATTGTTTTACTAGAGTTAAGTATGACTAATATTAACAATAAAAATTTTAATTCTTCACTTATTTCCTTTCATGAAGAAGCATGGAGCAGACATTTTTTAAACCCATGATGGTAGTCTACAGTGAAATTGAGCAATGCTCCTTCCTATACCAACATCATTTTGCTCTGTCACGTGCAAGTGCGACTGTGCATAAGCTGTGATATCAGAGACATTTACCACAGATTATGGATGGTGCTAGATCAAGATCTAAAGCCTATATCATATGATAACTGCAATGGATGAAAATTTAAGTGTTGCTCATCCTGGGAGGTTAACTGTTTTGTGAAGTCCAAATAAAAGGCATCTCCCCACAAATAATTAGCAAAATGGAGACATTTAAAGGAAGCAGTTTCAGAAAGCTCTTCATATTCTTTGCTGACATATGCCTTTGACATCAATGGAATTACAGAAGCAGAAATGTGACCTTTGATATGTACATATATCTATATCTTAAAATGAATACCAGCATTACAAGTATGTACTGTGCTATTTAGTTTGTGGTACGGCGTGTCAGGGCCATTCTATACATCAAAACAGACCACAGGACAATGGTTTTGTCATTTGTCATATGCAATTGTATTTCACTATTTCTTTAAATATCATTTTCAAAACTAATATGCAAAATAAAATGCAGGAATGCTTACCTGGTTTTGTAAGGGGAATATCTTTTTCATGTTTGACTGTTTCATGCTCTAAACAAAAAACAACAGCATAACAAAATTGCCATAATGTTTCTCAGTTAATTTACTCTTTTTTTTTTTTTTTTTGTAAGAAGAAATACATGTATGTTTTTCAGGATTAAACATTTCCCTTCTCTTGTTCTCTTGCTTCATGCTGTTATTTTGAAAAAGAAACCCACAAATTAATGGTTATTAAAAAATTATCCACTGAGAAATCTGCCACAAAGTAGCAAAGTTCATTAGTATTGCACCTAGCCTCACAAATATAGCCACTATTAATGCTACTACGAGTCATGGATGTGTCTTAAGGAAGAAGCAAGTAAATACTGAAATGTAATTTTCATCCATTTTCAATTTTGATTATTGGAAAGGAGAGTGCAGACCAACTGTTCACTCATCCTTTGTTCTTGATTCAGATATACTTGAGTGGAATTCCCAAAGTCTTGGACACATACCATTGCATATGAATCAATTATATTTAGGTGTGGAAAATGCATCTCATTTCCACATGTCTGCTTCCCTACCCCTTTTCCCATCCTTCTATTTCACAATTATTACTGAAAAAAATTATAATTTATGTTATGTTGCTGGAAATAGAAAAGTTGAAGAAGCTTTTTTTTTGTCAAATAGGTTTAACAAACAAAAGTCAGACTTAGAAAAAAACCCCACCACACCGATCTCACAGCACAGTAGCAGCTGTGCAATGGCAGCTGGGGCCAAAATACATTTTATGGCCATGGAATCAATGGACAGCTCTGCTGGCCTTGTTCCCAGGTTATGTTTCCACAGCTCAAGGACAGTGCATCGCTTTCCTTTTGACCCAAAAGCGTGCTGTAAAGTGGAAAGTGCTGAAAATGTGAATGGCCTCTGAAAAAAGTTCAATATGCCTCAGCCTTTCTGCTACTCAGATGAATAATTGAACTCCTGGTAGCTGTGATTTCAGGTGGGGAGACAAGTTGAGAAATGCTGAGATGAACACATCATACAGAATTTCAAATGGGAAACACTCTTATGAAGCATGAATGAAAAATTGGTTCAGTGAAGAGTGATTAATTTCCCATATCTGGACTTTTTGATCATTAAATTATTTTGGCAATTAATTGACAGTTTTAATTATTATTCTTGTAGTTGAATCTCAATTCTGAAGTTGTCAAAGGTATAGAAAATCAACAAGCAGGCTGTGTGGTAAGTTATGGTATTGACTCTCTTGAGTCCTTTTTGACTGAGAAGAATTCAGGATGCAGTTAATATTAATCTCTATTTTTCTTTTTTAACTTAGCAAAAGGATTTATTCAAGCCAGGTAATTTTTAGTAGTAATTTTTAAAAGACTTGTAAATCCTATATGAATTTTAGTTGATGGGAATTTTGATATGGGAAGTGTACAATGAATTCTCTCCTGCACTGAAGCAATTGGTTATGTCAAATGGGCTTTTAAATAGCAATTACAAGACAGTATGTTAAATGAAAGGAATGGGAGACATGGTGATAAAGATACTATAATTTTAAGCAAAACTAAGGCATGCTTCCTTATGTGAAAGTAAAAAAAAAGATACATGCATTCAACAATTTTGCAGGAATTTTTCTGATTAAGGTAAAAATAACATACTTGTTGGCTTTGCCTGGGCTACAGAAGACAAAAGAGGTAAAATTGTAATAGTTAGATACAGAAAGAATTAAAAATATACTCTTTTTCCTCCTTACTTTTTAACATTCAAGCATTTTGTCAGAGTCAGTTCTCACTTGTTCTTAGCTTCCCCTACTTGTGCAGGGATGCACAGCATTCAAACCCCTAAAGTTAAGACAGCTTTGTGTCGACTGCCAGTGAAGTTGAGAATGTTATAATTCCTTGGGTGACTCTTGACAGCTTCCAGAACATTCATTATTACTTGATTTTTTTTTCCTGTCAGCATTATATTAAAAAAACTATGAGGTCTTAATCACAGATAAGACTCAAAGGTTTAGAGTTTAGTCCCAAAAATATTTTCTCCATAAGACTGATTCAAAGTCCTAATCCATCTGGTTATTTATCCTCATATTTGGGACCCTTTCAGAAGTCTGATTAACAGCTACACCTCATTTCATTAGCCCAGCTCTGGCTAATGAGAGGCTGGAACAAGCAGCAAAGGAGCTGAAAGGCCTTGACCAGTCTTCATCATTGAAAAGACAATTCTTAGTAAAACAGAAGCTGCAATTTCCACTCAGCTGGTTTTTCTTTGTTATCATTTACGTATTTCAAAACACTGTAAAAAATATTGGAATGCAAATATACTACACTAGATGAGTGCTGAATAGTGTTTAATACTCCCTCTCCCTCTCCATAAATCAGGAGAGAATCACTTATTCATACCTGACTTCTCAGTGGGAGTTGTCTTTTGCTGTTTCATTTTCTCCTCTGTATCGTGAAAGCAGCATTAAAATCACAATGTATTAGCACAGGTTCATATAATTGGAAAAATATTTCTATAGGTGATATTATGCATATGGTTCACAATGACAAAATAAATGCATGTCTTCGCCATCACTATCCCATTATAACACTGTAAAACAGCAGGCAGGCATTATGAGTTCTGACTGCATGGTGAGATCATGTTCATGGAAAAAGTAAATTACTGGGCCTAATGTCTCAGCTGCTGGAAAACAGCCGCATACCCTTCAGCGTCCTTCAGGCAGGCACGCAGGTGGAAGCCATCCTATTCTTGCATCCATTATACCTTTGCCAACAGCACTTTCCTGAGTGTCTACATCCAACAGTTTGGTATTTCGGTATTAAACAGCACTAAGAACTTCTAGATACCATTTAGAACTTTTGAGGCTGCCTAACTCCGAACAAGGGTGGAGGTATTCACATGTGTCTACACTCTGAAGATGAAAAAGATATGGAGATGCCCCAGCATGTAACAGCTCACAGAGGGACACACGGGACAGTCTGAAATGCTGCTACTGGACAAGCCTACCTAGACCTAGCTGCACATCTGTCACAGGACCTTGGAGCAGCCTTGAACTACTGCTAATCTTATAGGAAAAGCTGCCCAAGCCCACATGCTCTTGAGCTGCCTGTGGATTTGTTCAGCATAATTCTCAGATGATGTGGCCACCAGACCTGAACTTCTTCTTCTGCAAGTAAATTGGTGGGATTACACTTTCTAGTCAAGTGGGGTTTGTTTTACCTTCCCAATGTCCCAGTTAGGTGGAAACTGGGATGTTTATGTTCAGATTTCTACTCTGTCCAGTTTGGTTGATTTTAAATTCACCCCATGTCATCCTTTTATAGTTCTGCTCCATTTTATGTCTTTTTCCATAATTGAATTAAAGCTCCTCTCCTAAACTCTACCTTTCAACAATCACATACATTCCTAAATTCTTAAATAAGCCTAAGACACAGTCAGACTGCATTTGCCATTCCTCTTGCTGAAAGCAGTTTGCAGCCGCCTGCCTCTGGCCCCTTCATTTCCACTAAGACATCTGGAAGGCATTAGAACAAAGATGACAATGACTGTGCAGAGATCAGGTCGGGCAGATCTCTCTTGGTCACCTTTTGGTCCCCTTCTCTTCTGTTTCTGGAAGAAAGTCAGTACTGATGGGGTCAAATATAGGGAGGGATAAAGCTCTCCAGTTACTAATATTTTCTATTATTTGGAAATTAATCATAGCTCTGCATTGAAGTGCTTTTCATTTACTTTCTGGTATGTGTCAATTTAATTTCTCTTAATTTGTATTAAGGTTAGGGCACTTTTATCCCCCTTACTCAGCTATTGTTATGGTCAGGTTCTTATGAAATCCATGAATTCAAAATCTTGTCTCCATGCTGTCTGTGGAGCTAGAAATGTTTTATAGCACAACCAGCAGCTTGAAGATGCAGCTTATTGAGAAAAAGTGTCTTTTTTCTTCTGCTGTTAGAGGAGCTTTAACATATATCAGTGCTTTTCACTAATTTAGATTGGGGCATTAAACTTTCTATGTACCAATACAGAAAAAAACCTGGTAATGTTGCTTGCCTTTAAACACAGGCCCTGTAACATGCCCTGGATTAATGACAAGTAAAAATAAAAAGGGTTCTCTTTCTTTGGATATTATCCTGACACTTTTGAACACTAAATAAGATATTTTCCCTTTCCTAATTCTGTTGAGAATGTACAGCAAGATTTGATTTGTAACCCTGGGATAACAAGTCTGTGAGGAAATAAGTGAGGAAATAAGTTTGTGAGTGGATGGCATATCTGATTGATTTGAAACTAGGGGCAGTGTTTCCTCTCAGAATGAATTTATCTTGAAAACTGGACAAGTCTGTGGATTTGCATTCATCTGGGAATTAACACAGTAATTCTTTGGTATTCATTCACCTACCTATTCTGCAACCTAACCACACAGCAAATATTGCTCTGCTGGTTCCACTGGAGAACACTCTGATGCATTCCCTGGCAGAACTATAGGTGGCGGCTGCTTGGCTTTTTCTCTGAGTTTCTAGCCAGTGGTTGTAGCCAGAAGGGAAACTGAAGGAGTAGAATGTCCAGACTTAAGGAGAATTGTCTTATAAGGGAATATACTTCAAGACATCAGGAAGCTTTATAAAATCAATCTGTTCACCACATTCAGTATGAGGAAAAGCAGAGAAAAACATATGATGAGGATAATACATATTATTTTGCCAAGAACAGAAGTAATATTTCTAATTTTTTCCTGTATTCTTTTTTTTCCCCATATCATGGGGAGTCTTCCAAATTAAAAAATTAAACAATTTTGAGGACTTCATAAAGATATAAAGAGTAAAAAAATAAATGTTATGAATATTAAAAAAAAATACTGATTTTGAGTAAGCCCAAAGTTTAAAGTTCTGAAATCTTTCATTGAAGAGAATTTATTTGCTCTGCAGGGCTCCAGTTTTGCAGCACTACAAGCATTAATATTAATTTTTTTCCCTGGTGTACCTAATTTAAATGGAAAAAATAAGGCTGTAAACATTTCTCTGTGTATTGCAGGCAGTTTCAGCAGAACTACATCAGGAATGGATTCCCTTGCTTTACTTGCTTTCACTGACATACACAAAACACTCTAATTTAAACTTTTTCCTATGGGACCAATATATTTTATGAAATTCTATAGCATTTCAGTCATGTGATACTTCTAAGTCTGACGACAGGAAGCATAAGAAAAATGGTTTGAAGCTGCACTGAATCAAGGTGAAAAAGGAGGCCACTGTTTTGTTCAGAATGAAGCTTTTATAATTCAGACTGTTAACTCAAGAGCACTCCTTGGCACACAGCAGGAAGAAGCACTATTACCACCAGTGCCTGCAGATTAATACTTCCAGTCATCAAGTGAAACTCAAAACAGCCACTGTTCTCCAAAGCAACAATTTATCATCTGAGAATAGAGATTTTATGCTAAAGGAAATTTAGCAAGCATTTTCCTATATTTTTTTCCCTTCAAGCGCCTAAATACCAAGGGCTTGGGATCTGGGTGTACTGTAGTATGGGAGAGTAAAGTCCTAATCAGTCCAATATATTGGTTTGTGACACAGTGCTCTGATGTTTGAGAATGCCTTACCAAGGAAACTTATTTTCCTGCAGCTATGTGATGAGATTGGGCTAATTGTGCAGCAGGACTGATTTCATTTAGCAGGAAAGGTGAGTGATCATGTCATCCATCCAGGCAACCCACTTTCTGGCCACTACTGTGGCCACCAAACTTGGCTTCCTCATTCCTGCCTTGGCTGAATTCACCTAATGTCTGAAGCATTATGTTAGCTGTTCATACACAAAAAGTGATCAATATGTTGCATAAAAAACTTGGCCTATGTGTCTTAGAGAGAAGAAGAGAAATATTTTTTCCCTATTGACTCAAAACCAATACCTCTTCACTAAATCAGATCCTCAAGGCTTCCAGGAAACCTGAAAATGTCTATGAAAATATTTAACTTACAAGGTAGAATACTCTGCATTCGAAAAATGAATGATAAAAGTACTAAATACATAGGAGAAATTTATTTCTTAAAAAAATAGGAAAAAAGTTAGTGAAATAAAGCCTGCTTGCTTATCGTTGAACACATAAGGTATAAATGGTTTATTTAATCACTTATTCCTGATCACTTCATCTCAGTGTGAAGTTCAAATAGCAGCACTTCCAGCAAAGGTCACTGGGATGTGGATACTTGCTTTCCAGTCCCCACTGCTTCAGGAGTGGGGACTGGAAAACCACTCAGGAGTGATGTAAGCTGAGCATCAATAACTGAGTTTTCTGTGAGGTTACCCTCTTAGTCTTGTTAATTCACACCAGACCCAGCTGTGGATCCTTGAGTGCCTTTCTCCTCAAAAACATTATTAGAACAGAGCTCTGGTTTGAAAGGGTTGCCCTGCTCACTGCGGCCAGATATTACTTACAGTTTACCCAAGTGCACATTCAGTCCAGGATTAGTATTGCTATTCTTAGTTCAGCTCCTGTTACTTTTGAGTGTCAGGAGCCGGAGGCTGACTCTACTGCAGACTGTGTACTCAACGAGATTGTACCTTCTCCTTTTTGGGGGACCACACTCACATAATGTAATAACTAATTTACTGAAAGTGTTGAGTAGGGTTAATTCCCAGTGCACATCTTTGATGTAGTGCAGGGCATTACAGCTCTCCTTCCTCACACTCTGGGAAATGGGTTTTGCTAATGCTTTTTACTACACCAGTGAGAAAAGTCACAAGAACAGGGAAAAACTGTGACAGTTGAATCCTTAAAGTTAAATGTCACCTTCATTTTTGCTCGTCTCTGAGGCACTGAAAAAACCCAATGGCACAGAGCAAAACACCTGCGCCTAGCCCAAGGAAGTGTCCAAGTTTTGCAGACCACACACATCCTTATTGAGTGGAGCCGGGTGTAAGTGGAGGTTACTTCACCAAACCTACCTGGCTTAGTCTGAGAGACAGCTTTTTCATGTTTAACACGTTCATGCTCTGAAAATGAGAACCCCTACATTAGAAGGCATTTTAATTTTTGGAGGATTTCAAAAATAAAAGATTCCCATTATAGTTTTAAAAGATTACTTTGCATTACATATTCCCATTAGACTTGAGAAGAATTTTTTGATAACTATATTTCTCAAGAAATGATCTTGAACTATTCTTTCCCTATAAAATTAAAATAATGAAAAGTGTTTTTTAACTTTTTAATGTGGTTTAATTATTTTCTGTGGATTTTTAGAAAGATAATAGAATTTCTAAAATTACTAATTGCTTCTAGTATTGATTGTGATTGCTATCACTTATCTTCTGTATAGAAAATTTCCCCTTGATGTTCAATACAGAAACGATGGCAGTTTTTATTACACCAGAAGTGGGGTTTTCTCATAAAGAATGACAAATAAATGTTAAGTATCCTGCATAAAAGGAAAAAAAAAAAAAGCTTTCCATGTTTCTCTTTGTCCTGGATTTGGCTGGACTAGAGCTAATTTTCTTCATTCTAGCTAGTATGAGGATCCCATAAATATATTGTGAAGCACTAATAATAATGGATATTACCCTGTATTATAATACAACATGTATGCAATTTTGTGCTATTTAAAAACAGTGTGCTATCCAGATCCCAACCATTATGAGACAGAAAATATTTCAGAGGAATGTTAAAAGTATGTTTAATTCTGATTTGTAGCTCTGAAGTCTAAGCTGTGCAGCAGGCCAGCATTGCAGCATACCAAGAAATAAATCTCAAAAACCTGGACCCAAGGCCAGGCCAGATAATTCCAGAGACCCTTCCCTATCTGTGGCCCCCTTAATTGTTTCCCAGTGCAAAGCTGCCATGGAGACAAAAGCATGGGTCTCAGCTGAACTGGGAAATGGTTTCCATGCAAACTGGAACCTGTGAAACACACCTGGTCCTGCACTAACAGAGCGAGTCATTGAAAACCAGTTTCACAAGTCAAAATATTGTGTGAGTTTGAGTTGCTTAAGCTGCTAAAACTTTGTAAAAATAAGGAAATACCTTCCTTCTGAAAGTTAAAATAACAATATTCTATATTGCCTTGGTACTTACTGTGTTCATGCGGGTTCTCTGAGGTAGCTAAAAGCAAACAAAAAAGGCAAATTTTAATAATTTTATAGCTGTGATGCAGAATGTAGTTCATTTCTTAGTGACATTTTAGACATATAAAATCTCAGTGAAATTTGTATTGAAGTGTGCAGCAGTTACATTGTGTCACCTACACTGTCCACCCCAGATGCATAAATGGGACACTTAGCTAAGGAACACAGGCACCCTGAATTCCTCATTTAGCCAAAATTTGGTACAAACACCCCTGGAAGGCTCTGCACCTCTTCTAAGGGCAGTCACCCTCACTCAGTGCTGACCATTTACCAAACCTAGGGAAACTGCCTGGCTAAGTAAGGTGCTCACCTTACTTAGTGCCCACTAAGAGATGGGGCAAATTAAGACCATAAGGTCTCTGCCAGACAAAGACAGAAAATGAATTTTAGCTCGAGTAGGAAACAACACCTAGGGCAGTCTAAAGATGACAGTTCCTGACAATTGCACCTGCTCTATGAGGGCAATGAATTTCAGATGGATTCAGTGATGCTCCAAGAAGCAGAAAGACATTTGAAAACGTTCATTAACTTCATTAGGCCACTTCTAAACAAAAGGATTTCAGTGCTGTGACTTCTAGACTTTGTGCCATTTCATTTTCGGCATTTTTTCATTTAAAAAATCCCAGATGAGATAAAACTGAAAACCAAATGAATACTTTCCATGGATGTTAAGACAACATTTCTCAGGTAAAAAAATGAGAGCTTGGCAGCTGTGTCCAATGTCATTATTGGTTCTGCAGAAGGAAGTGAAATGTCAAGACCTAGCCCTCCAGCTGGAGTTTTCTTCTGGACTTTTGCTACACAGCTGTTGTTTTCAAGAGAAAAAAGGCTCTACCACCAGCATGTCTTCTGTGTGTGAGAGACAGTAATCCCACAGAGAGATGCAGCAGGGCAGGGGATGAACTGCCTTTGCAGCCCCTTCAGCACAAGCAATAAAACTGCTGCTGTGAGCTCCCTGGCTGTGATTCACTGAGCTCCTGAGCTCCCCAGCTCCCATTTGGGACAAAAACTGCTGTGCATGTGGGTTTCTGTTTCACTTGTTTTCCCTGCAGTATAAAGTCTACTCCCATTTTATATCCAGTCTCTCATCCATTTAAGGAGACAGCAACCTGAGAGGGTAGTGGAACAAAGTGAAAAACACCATAACATTTTTGTGGGTAATAAAGACTAATGATACAAAGTAAGTGTATATGCTTGATCCAAACGGAGGAATCAGAAATATGAGTTCAAAGGAAAAAAAAATGTCCTAAGACAAAGGCATATTTGTTATTTTTATGTGTGTAAGTAAATATTTTATAAATTTAGGCTCATTTAACACTGCAAAACTAACCAAAATGTAGTTCCCTTAGCATCATAAGCTGAGGCAAATTCTATTGCAATTGAGTTTCCATGAAGTATGTCAGAAATATGTAGAGGAAATTAATTTTTAATTGTGTCAAAAGATATAGTGAGATATGTTCAGGAAATATGAATTTCAATTTTCAAAAAGGAATTTCAAAACAAATATTTAAATCAAATCTGAACGTTATACCAGTAGCTAGGATAATGACTTACACAACTAATACAGAATATTGTGTCATACAACTCAGTAATCACCCAAAATAATCAGAGCTAGGCCACATATGAACAGTGTTAATTTAAAGACTCTTTACTGACACTGCTTAGCAAATTTTACAAGCACACTTTTGTAATAACATCCTTATCTAAGATCTGGCTAAAATCAAAACAAAACCATTACTCCTTAACTTTCCATTGAAGCCAATACAGTTATTTCCACTTCTATGCCAGTAAAATATATCAGTCACAGAGAATGTTTAAAACAATAGGAACTCAGTAAAGTTTGGTCCCTGAAGTTTGTGAAAGTATCTCTGTTGTCCTTTTCCATCTTTTATGTGGAGGTATTAATCAGACAAATTTGTATAATGTCGGCATCAAGACAGATTGAAGACTGAGATTACTGCTATCTGTGCTTTGCCTTAAAGTTCAGCTTCCTTACTTCTGGCATGACACTCAGAGATATTTCTACCAGATATTTTGATGAAATAATGAAAATATTCTAAAGTTAAAAGTTTCTAGAGTGTTAGTTATTCTAAAAAATGTCTATATTTTTTCTATAAAAAATCCAAAATGAAACACCAAGGTGAAATTTTGAAATGGTATTTGGGCCATAAAAATAAACCTTTATGTTTTCCTAACTGTGATTTCAATCAATTCAATATTAATGTTATCCTTCTTGTGCATCATTATCTCATTAAAAAATGCAACTCAAATGGTGTACAGATTAAGCAGAAAGTTAAAAAATGAAATCCCAAGACCATTAGATTCATTTTTACAGTATCACAGTTACCTATAACATGGATACCTTGATTTTTATTCTACTTCGTGAAAACAGCAAGATCATAGTCCAGGTCAGACTTTGCAAAGTGTGTAATGATAAATGTAATTTAGCCTAAAGGGTGAGAAATTAAAGGCTGTGTTATGCAGCTCTGGGAATCTCACATGTTTCAAGGAGTATCTTGCACTGAAAGCGCAAATAAGCTTTTTTGTTTTGGCCATTGATGGCGAGAGGGTGTTGGGTTAAATCAACTCTTGGTCTCATTTCAAATTGTTGTTCTGATGTCATTAGCTGACATGACTACCTACTGGGTAAGAAATATTGTTCACAATAGCGGAAAATTCAGTCCTAAGTAAGTGTTTTATCTTCACTTGCTTAACATTTACATTGTACTAGAGGAGGTCAGATTTGAATCGAATGAAAACAGTTGGATTTTTGATGAAGTATTTGAAGCTACATAAGAACTGGATCAATGAAATTACATGGTTCTACTCGCAGCAAAAATTTGCAATGTCTTTTCTGCCATTCTAAATTAAAGTTGGAAAACAGGCTTCATGGATATCTTGCTGTTTTGCACTTCAAATTTTTTTGACTTGCCTGCTATTCTGAAGGCCGCAAGAGTATTAATTATATATGGCATATTTTTGTAAATTAGATTCTGATACAGGTTCAGAAATAAAATCCTGCATTTTATTGAACCATAAATTGGTAAGGCTAAAATCAGAATGTGCTTTTTGATTATAATGTCTATTTTCCATCTGGGTAACAGTTATTTGCCATTCAGACAGCAAAAACCTTTGTGAGAGTGCACATTCTGTAAGAAAAGAATATGTTGTGCAGGAAATAAAAGCAATGCCAGAAGTACTTGTTTCAGTTAAAAAAACCTGAACAATAACACATGCTGTAGCTGGGAAAAATTATATCCAATTAGATAGATACAAGTGTATTATAAATAAGAAATTTACTTTCCATTAGAAAAAGTAAGAGCCTGGTTTATTTCCCATTAAAGACAGCACAGAGATTCATTACCATGTTTTGGACTGGACATTGCATTACACAACACACACATAATGTTAATCTGTAACAACATTACAGGCCAAGAGAGAGATCAAAACCAACAGGAATCTATTCCTAATAGAATTATCAAAATTTTAAATGTATACCTTCCAGTTTATGCATCAGGACAAAGGTAAAATTTGATTTCCCTACTTAATATGAGTTACCTGAACTACAGACAAATGAACTACTTGTCCTTTAGGCAAATTAGTAGACATTATTCCTCCCAAATATAAGTTCCAAGAACTTAAGAGACCACATCATTGTGCATAATTTAAATAAGACAGTTTTTGTTTAGTTAGGTCAAGGTTTTTCAAACTGTAACACAACTATATTAGAAAAAAGTCAAACAGAATAAAATACATTCCTTACATGTCTCAGATAATAAATTCAGAAAAAAAAGGAGGTTATTAGGACTTACCACTCTGTTAAGGAACAGTTCCCTACATTTGTGAAGTTGTTGTCTGTACGCTTTGTCATTCAAAGGAGAAGTCAAATGTTTGCATAATTTTTTTAGACCAGCAGACCTGATCTGTCATTGTCATATGTGTCTTACTCCAGTTCTCCTGGCTAGGGGCGCAGCTGGCAGACTGTGTTGCAAAGCCAGTATACTGAGCATATGTCTAAAAAAGTGACTCAAAAACCAGATTAGCTGCAGCAGCATTCCTAAAAAGAGAATGGCTTGTGCTCATCCTGACCTCTGCTCTACATTAACAAATTGCCTTGACAGACTACGACCAAGAGTTATCTGTGGCCAAGTCAAAATAAAGAAAGCAAGAAGTGTGTGGTGGTGGTGGTGGCACAAATAGGGGAAGCTGGTATATGATTAAAATACACTGCATGTTGTACCAGCCTTGCCCTCATAGGATCTCTTAATTCCCTACAACATCCATTTTAAATTTCTGGCTTGCTTTAAACCTAGTATTTTCCAGGATATTTTTTCCAGGATTCTAAACTTTAAGGAAGTATTATACCACATTAACACAATGAGTATGAAATGCTAAGTGATTAAGGCTGTCTGGAATATTTGTAGGGAAGCAGAGAGCTTGGGCTCTTGGTCTAGGAATTGTCATCTGAGTCTGTGCATTTCCTTGGATCACTATCAGCAGTGGCTAAAGGACGATAATAGGATAAAGAGTTAAGACAAACTCTCCTAAAATGCCATGGTTCTCCATTATCATTTATACTTAACCATTGATATTAGAGCCCGTACAGTATTCACTAGCAACAGACTGATGTTCCTATTGACACTTTCCACTAAAAAAAGCTGTCAAGCTGCTCTCACAGTTCTTTCTGCTTTATTTTCTTTACCAGAGCAGCCTAGCCCGAGATATCTATCTGCTTTCCCAGAGCTGTCGTGTTTGTGTCCTTGCAGTTTGGTTTGTTTTATACCTCAGGGCTGCATGTTAAAAAATGAGCTGACTCTTGGTTTTGGAGGATTTTGTTGACGTTATCTAGAACAACTTGATTTTTAAGACTTTTTTTTTTTTAACTGGCAGTTCAAGAGTACTTTATATGACAGGGAAAACCAAAAAAGAAATAGAGAGGAGGGAAGGGAGAAACTTTATCATGGTGTAAATATAATA